ATCATTGTCATCACCGATGGTGAGCCCTCTGACGATGTTGAGTCTCCCATTATTCAGACTGCCAAGAAGCTTGATAAGCTCGACGCGCCTGCCTGGCAAGTCGGTATCCAGTTCTTCCAGGTGGGCCGGGAGCCCGGTGCGCGTGAACATCTCAAGCAGCTTGATGACGGGCTTGCCGAATTGGCCGAGGACGATAATCTTAGAGATATTGTGGATACCGTTCCTTTTAGTGGTGCAGAAGGCGAGTCACTGACTGCAGCGGGTATTCTCAAGGTGGTCATGGGTGCAGTTCACCGCAGGTTGGACAGAAACTCCAGGGATCTGCACAGGAAGTAGGGATTCTCCCAACTTCCCCTCCAAGCAGTTGCATGACTGGTGTTGCAGATGGTTGTATGGGCTTTGCGAGAAGCATATGTGGGGGAGGGTGTCGTGTCTGCCTTGCAATAGTCAACACTGCGGGGTACCACTACCAGAATACATTGGCATATACGTTTTCCAGATATGAATCCTGGCGCTTATCGGGTGGGTCTGATTGCTGTCTCTATGGCGTTTGTGGGGAAGTACATGGGATCGTAGGTCTCCTTTTTGGGCTTCAGGCGCATGCATATGATACCCCCCTTTTTCTCTGCTGCATGGAACTGCAGGCAATACAAATTGGGAGGCGGTCTGCTTTTTTCAAAGGTAACTATTAGATTTTTATGTCTTTGGAGTTTAGGGATCGAGCAAAGTTTCTCTGCTCGAGTAGTAGTTTGGTTAATTCATCCATTCGTTCACCAGTGTTTACATTGCTACCTTGAACACAATTTTGAATTCTACATACACAGCTAAAAAAAATAGTTACAAAGATAACGTTATACCCCACTAGATGACAGCCCCTCTTGTTCATATTGTTTCGTTCCGATGCTAGCCTGGACGCCTAAAACGGCCAAACTAATTTACTGCCAGTCAGCCTTACGATAAGACCCCACCACAAGGCAGACTTCGGAAGATGCTCTCCGGGTAAAGCAAATAAGCACACCGCATAAATGCTCTGCCTTGAGACAAGTACCATGTTCTGTGTATACTCGGGTCCGATATGCAATTGGGCCATGGTTAGGTCATCACATTCACAAGGGACTACTCCAACATGCACTCCACACCTCACACACCCGAGGACCCCGGCACATTCACGCGCCCATGCTCCTCACTTTCCCCACACAAGCAAATCAATTGGAAAAGAATAGTCATAATCATAACATCATAGTAACGTCCTAGTAAAAGTCTTCCCACCGCGTAACCCTCTTACTCCCCTCAGACTCGGTATCCGACTCCGTCTCCCTCTCCATCTCGCGCCCCTCCCTCTCCCACATCTCGCGCTCCTCGCGTCTCGGCTCCATATCAACACGGTCGAACCATCCCCCATTGAACTTCTTGTCCCAATAGGCAAAGTACATGGATGCCTGCTTGGGCTGCGGAAGCGCAGGGTCGCGCTGCTGGTGGTGCTCGTCGGCGTCGGTGTTGAACGCCGAAGTAGAGTACGCATAAGGGTTTTCGGTAGCCAAGAGTCTTCGGTACTTTTCTTGGTGTGACTCTGCTTGATGTGAGTTTGCTGGTTGGGTGATGTTGTAGATGGGGTCGTTGAAGGGGTCGCGGTATTGTGGGTGTTGTGAGGGGCCGCCGGTGTAGGAGAGGATAGTGCTGGTTGTGCTTAGGGAAGAGGAGTTGCGGTGGTGGCTGTGGGTTAGATCTCGCTTTTTTATGCGTAGGGGCGCGGGATGTAGGGCTGTCATGCTGATGCTGTCGCTGGGGCTCAGTGAGTTGTTTGAGTGATGGTGGTAGGATGAATAGAATGAGGACTTACTGGGTGAGGTTTGGTAGGTATCTTGATGATATGCCGAGTATGTGTCTTGTCGGTTGTATGATTTGGGAGAAGTGTAGGCCTGCTTGTCGCGCATATCGAAACCTAGGGGTTCTGCTGGGGAGAACTGCTCTACGCTGAAAGGGCGGGGATTCGGACCTAGTTTTGTGTCGACCTGCATGTGAAATGAGTGCTCGCCTGTTTTGTGATCGGAGGATGTATCTGAAGAGGAGTTCACTGTTGTGCCAGAGAGTGTCTGATACAAAGTCTCCTTTTGGTGCCTTCGCTCCAGCATCAAAAACTTTAGTCTCATACCAAGATCACCGGATTCGTAAAGGGTCCTCTCACTGCCAGAAGTCTTCTTGATCCAGTATTTTACGAATCGTACACGCCTCGAGCTCATCTCTGCCCAGTAAGGAGTGTCAGGAGCGGGGTTGGGATTTGTCAGACTTTTTGTACTCAAGCGGCCCACCATGCCCGCAAAGAGAGCGAAGAGGACGTCTTCATCAGAACCAATACGCGCCATGATACAAGCTGGACACTGGTCGGGCTGGTAGTGCCACTTGTCTCCACAGTAGATGGGCTCGCGGCCAGGCGGCGCAGAAGCATCAAGTTTGAAATCCCGTCGCCACATTTGCAGCACAGGTTCCATTTGACGCACCCTCCACTCTTGGTCCGGGGTCAGAAGATTAGATATGATCAAAGGGTAAAGGAACTGGCCGATTGCGCCTTCAAACTCGTGCTTCACCCATGCCCAAATGTCGTTGATTAGATGGGCATCCAAGCCTTTGTGGATGCAGCAGAGGTTCCCAGAACTCCGGAAGAATAGAGGAGAGGAGCGTAAGCGTCGAGGGAGATCCTGGATATCCAACTTGGTGTGTTTTTGGTAGAGTGACACTTTGCGCTCATAACGCTCCTCAGTAGGTGTTGGGACATCTCGCAGGATACGCACCAAGCGTTTCATGTCAGTGCTGTGAAGACGGCGAGTCTCTATTCTACCCAAAAAGGAAACCATTTGGATCTTGTCTGGTACAGTGTTTTTGTAGAGATGTTACGTTGTGGGATATGAGAAACAACAGGTGGTTGGAAAGGAACGACCGGATATATAACCCTTTCAAAATAACATGGTAGACGAACAACACGATGAAGAGCTAGATGCATTGTGAGAAATGTCAAGTTGGGTTTTAGTGTTCACGGCTCTTGGAACAGCGAGAGAGTGATACAATGTTGGGACATGGAAAAGTCCACAATGTGCAAACATGGTATGTAGTGAATCTCAGAATTGGGTCAGAAATCTAAGACTGAAAGCAGCCCAGAGACATTAGCTGACGAGCTGGTGGGGTTATCAGAAAAGAATACAGGATGAAGCATGAGCATCGCAAAGTCACGCGCAGCGCCTACTTGTCAAGAAGACGGGCCAAAAAATCAAGGACTACAACACAGGCGGAAAGATCTCATACAGTCAATAATAGGGCTTAAATTCAATTGTGATCCAGCCATGCAGTAAACGCCGTTCCAGAATCGTATAGTGCATGAGTAAAGAATGAAAAAGATAAAACCATATCCCAAACGGTACGCAAAGCAGCCCAAGGCTGAAGCTACCAGATAATACAAGAAGAAAAAAAATCAAAAGAAGCGAAAGTTTGTAGCACTAGGACTAGACATTACCTATAGCAACCGGATGGTTCTTGTCTACAAATGAAACAAGTGGGTGCAATCAATGTGAGCTCTCCAATCCCAACACATTGGCTCTCCTGCCGTGCAGGTTTTGATTGACTTTGTTTGTCAAATCTTTAAAGTTTGTTCCCGCCGATGATGAAATGCTAGTCGCCTTTTTTCTTGAAATGCGGGGGGTTGAAGCCCCTTGCGGGAGAGAGGAATCCTCCTGAGATGGGCTGGAGACTGCTGCAGCAGTCGCCGGGACGGCGGTTGCCTCATTCTCCTTCTCTTGGTCAAGCTTGTGCTGTGCCGTCATACGGGCACGCTCGTACTTGGCAGTCACGTCGCCCTTGTACATGGTACCTCCGATGCGATCCAAGTAGACAAAGAACGGCTGTGAGAAGTTGGTTTTGATGCCCCAGCTCTGGTGGTGGATATCATGGTACGCGGCATTGTTGGGGAAGATCCAGTGGATAGGGTCGTAGGGGAATGCATAGCCGCCATGGTCGAGGACAGTCTTGATGGTTGAGCCGGTGAAGAACCACATGGATTGTCGCATGGTCAGGCCGGTGAGAAGGTAGCTGAGACCAGCGCCAAGAGTGTCTAGCGCGAAACCTTCAATTGGGTGGTTGTACAGCGCGCCATAAGCATATGGGACGTAGAGTCGGTGGTGACGTGAGTGGAAGGTCACTGTGTATGTTAGCTAAGCACTGGGGAGTTCAGGAGCCGAGCGTACCGTATAACCACTTGTTCAGGTGCATTGCACGATGCAGCATGTATTCCCATGCATCCATGATGACAATGGCAGCGCTAAATTGGAACGCAGGGATGGCGTACCAGTAGGCGAAGCTAGCGACGGCCAGTTCCCAGGAAGCAAAGGCCGGGACCAGCGTCTGCTCACCGGCAACTATCGCCGACTGTAGCAGCGCTGGGTATCTCCCTCCAGCAACGACCGAAGAGAGAAGCGGGTGGGAAGAAGCAAGCTTTGAGGCCAGGGCGACTGGATTAACGCCAACTGCGGACAAGACGTATGGGACTGCGCGCTGTGCAAGGCGAATCTTCTGGGCATACCAAGCGACGTCATAATCGGCTTTTCCGGTAGTCGGGGCATCGTCGAATATGGAGAGGCTGAAGGATGCTATGATCTGAATGACCTGCTGGAGTATGACGTCGCGCAGGACTTCGTATCGCGAGACGTGATTGCGCTTCAGGACCTCTGCGGGCGTGTGCAGTCGGTATTGGGGAAACAGGTCGTATACGTCAATGGTGTGGAATATCAGGGACACGAACCAGTAGCCGACAACAGGGAGGGCGGCTTGTATAAAGGCGTCGGATGCCCATGATGTGAGCGGCTGTAGAGGCTGAAGGGTATATTCAGGCAGCGGCGGTAGGTGGTAGGATGCAGTTGAGTTTGCGCTCGCCATGGTGCAGCAATGGTGCTCCAGGGCAGCGAATTATGGATTGCAAGTGTAGCTATGCAGCAGCGAGCGGGGGAGTGCAGAGTGCTCGTCGATGGGGTGCAGGGCAGGCGTGGGCGATGACGGGCGACAGCAAGAGCCCAGGAGCGGCGGAGCAAGGAAATTAGGGAGAAGGAGTGATGCAGCAGACGGCTAAACGGCAGGTGCAGGTGGGAAGCAGGTGAGGATGAGCCCGTGGTTGGAATGGCCGGCGGCGGAGGGCTCGGAAAGGAGAGGCTGAGGTGGGCAGAGCGAGGCGAGGCGAGGGAGAAAGTCGTGTGAGGGTGGTGCTGCTTGGTGCTTGCCTGTGACAGGGAGAAGCACTGGCGCGACGTACGGGCGCATCATGACATTTCGCCTGCCCGGCCGGACCAAAAGTGCAGTGCCTGAGAAACCAGGCCACCTGCACCGCCACAGCACGCCCGGTGCGCGCTCCACGCATTCCCAGAGCCGCCACCCACTAGCCACGCCTCGCCATGCTTCGCCATGCACCAGCCACAGCCCACTTCCGGCTAGACCACCCTCAAACCCAATTTTCGACCCCACCAAATTCTCTCTCACGCCCTTATAGTCCCGCGCTCCCTTTCCGCCCCGAGTCAAAGAAAGAATCCTCCAGCCCCCCGACCAGCCGACCCTCTTTCTCCCCCCATCACCACATCTGCACATCCACCACACCGCCAGTATGATCATTTACAAGGTCCGTTGCTGCTCCTGCCCGCACGCCGTTGCCCCTGCCCGCGCAACTACCCCGCCTTCCCTGTTGCGCTTCACTACAGCCTGCGCCGGCGGAAAAGCACCTGGCGCCTGATGCAGACATGCAGTATTGACACGTTCCCAGGACATCCTCACCGGTGACGAGATCATCTCCGACTCGTACAACCTCAAGGAGATTGACGGCGTCGCCTACGAGGCCGACTGCTCCAAGATCACTGTCGGAGGCGAGACTTTCGGTGCGTGCTAGTGACACAACGATACACTCACCCGGCCTAACAGCCCTGCAGACACTGGTGCCAATGCCTCCGCTGAGGAGCAGGAGGAGGGTGCCGAAGACCAAGCTGAGACCAAGATTGATGTCGTCCACTCTTTCCGTCTCAACGAGACGGGCTTTGACAAGAAGGGCTACCTCACATACCTCAAGGGTGCGCCACATGACCACAGTCCATCAGCGTACAAACACTAACTACCATCAGGCTACATGAAGGCAGTCAAGGAGGCTCTCAAGAACAAGGGCGCCGATGAGGCCGCCATCAAGGAGTTCGAGACTGGAGCCCAGGCTTTTGCCAAGAAGATCATTACCAACTTCAAGGACTACGAGTTCTTCACCGGCGAGTCCATGAACCCCGACGGCATGATCGTCCTCCTCAACTACCGTGAGGATGGTGTCACCCCCTACGTTACTGTCTGGAAGCACGGTCTCGAGGAGATGAAGGTTTAAGGTTGGACGGCTCAAGGCGCGGGGTCGGTTCACGGTTCATTTGAATTTCACAAATACCTATTGCATGGTTGGGATATCCGCCACAGGGCGAAAAAACGACACGGCACCAATCTAGACGACCGTTATCGAGTCATATGTGACACATGTTATTCTTTCTTCTCAATTCACCCCGCCTCTTGCCTTGTGCCGCTACCGTCCCGTGTCAATGCAGCGTTAGGTAGGCTTTTATGCACATCAAATACTAACCCCACTTATCTAACGTACATCCCTTCGTAACGGAACAACCGCCGTGACGGACAAAATTGCAGGTACTTTAACTTCGCAGCACTATCACCGCCTATAGACACTATAATAGTTATACTATCCTATCCAGGCATATATTAGAATTAATTTTAAGTTAGTGTATGCCTACAAATATAAATAGCTCCATATCGTAATAATCCAAAATAATCTATAGTCTCGCGAAAGCGTACGATGTACTAAAGTCGACACTTCAGACGCGTCTCCATGTTATGGGCTGGGCCTAGCAGGATACTATAAGGAGCCAGAGGTTATTATATTGCTTAGGTATATGTAGAGTAGCGAAGGTCTAGTGTCTACTTACAGTGTCCGTTCTCTTATTAGGCTCAAATAGGGTAGGTCTATAACCTACCCCATAACATCCTAGACTAAGATATCTACAACTTTAGATTCGCAATAGGCTTCTCTAGTACGTCTAAGTTAGTTATAAGCGCTAACAGAGTTAGGAGAGCAGTTATTATATAGCTAGGCAATCGCGAGTAGGTTATAGTAATTGTTAGATAGCCAGCCCTGTGCCACTGCGCTACTACAACCAAAAGGTACGAATAATCAGCATTCTGCTGATACTCTACACAGGATAGTATATATAGTTAGCACTTAACAGCGTCTAACACTTAACAGCTTACTACAGAGGTAGAAAGGGTGAGGAGGCTGAGGGCAATTAGCGACGTCAGCGCGCGCTGCCAACGTGTACGAAGTGCTATATTCAAGGACAGACTCGCACTTTATATAGAACTAGATAATAAATTATGCCTCTTAGTTTTATCTTATACTATTGCGTTGTTGCAGAGATAATTGCGTAGAGTGTTGGGTCAAATTTGGTGGGGCGGCCAGCTTACTGATCCCGCCCGTTATAATGTCAAGCAGTGCTGAGTTACAAGAACTGATAGAAGATTTTCGAGGTCAGAATTTAAAGGAAGCAAGGCCAGATGAGTTGAAGGGCTTTATTAGCTATGTGCGAGCGATGCAGTAGAGATTCGAGGCAGAGGCTGCGTAGATGAACAAGCTTAAAGTCTAGCACAAACAATCACTAAGTTAGTTGCCATAAAACCTCACGAAAATGGCCAATATACTCCGTATGTACGGAGGTGCCTTTCAAAAGTATTGTCTACCGCTAATCTCGGCGATTCGGCGCAACTCTTCTTGGCG